GGGTGTGTGTGTGGGGGGGGGGGTCGTGTCTGGGACCAGTTGATGCAGTGGTGTGACAAGATGTGGGCCATCATGTCCTGCATGACGGCACACCTGCCTGATGCTGCTGCTCCTGGCTTTCATCCTCCTGCCCCCTATGCCATACCTATTCCCCATCTGCCTGCCCCCCCCCGGTATGCCTCTGCTCCCTCCCCAGGTAATGCCAATGCCCCCTCCCCAACTGATGCCTAGGGCCCCTCCCTCTGCTCCCTGCCAACCCTGACCCTGCTCCAGCCCCCCTCTTGTCCACCCTCCTGTGCTCCCTGTATCCACACAACTCTGATGAGGTCCCCACACCCAAGGAGGCACATCAAGCCACCCCTTCCCCCTTCCAGGTAGGAGCCCCCTCCCCCTGTCCACCTTTTCAGAATCCTTCATTAATACAGACTACTATTTTTTGAAAACCAAACAGGTGTGTTTATTGGGAGGTCAGAGAAAGGGCGAAGAGAGGGGTTGTGGTGGAGAAGGAACAGGGCCGCAAGGCAGAGGCCCCTAGGGAGGAGGCACTGGGGAGACTTACTGGGGGCCTATCCCTCCAGCTCTTCTGGAAACGTACTGCACCCTGATGGGCCTTGCAGATGGCAGCTGCCCACAGCTACTGGAAAGCTTGCCCTTTGTGGCCAGCGTCTGCCCCCAACCCTGGAAAAAAGTGCTGCAAAAACTGCAACATGTCCATGTGGGGCTATCGCATGCCCGGGGCAGCTCAGGCTCCATGGCACCAAGAGAAAAGCTGTGGCGTCCAAAAAAGCTGGGCACCCAGGGCACTCCAAGCCAGGACTGCTTTGCTGTCCCTCATCGAGGTAGACAAGCAAGCGGAGAACCCTGAGAACTGTCTGTCTGGGGTGGGGGTAGGGTCCCTTTAAGCACGGAGCTCAGTTAGCCTCAGGCAGCAGCCCCACACACTACGTCCTAAGCTGATGCCATGCCAGCACTGGTTCCGGCCATCCTTAACTTCAGCAGGGCACTCCAAGCCAGGACTGCTTTGCTGTCCCTCATCGAGGTAGACAAGCAAGCGGAGAACCCTGAGAACTGTCTGTCTGGGGTGGGGGTAGGGTCCCTTTAAGCACGGAGCTCAGTTAGCCTCAGGCAGCAGCCCCACACACTACGTCCTAAGCTGATGCCATGCCAGCACTGGTTCCGGCCATCCTTAACTTCAGTTCAGGGTCCACTCAGTGTGGATGTGCTATTTCGAAATAATTTTTGTGTATAGATGCGCTATTTTGAATTAGCTTAATTCAAATTAACTATTAAGTTCATTTGTAATAGTGCTGTAGTGTAGACATACCCCCAGGGAAAAGGATTTTTCCCTGGTTTTGAAGGCTTAACTGGAAAAGGACTCAATCAGTCCTACTACCCCCTAGGTCATGACTGGTGCGGCCACCCCGCTGCCCAGTGCTCTGGCACCACAGGTCTTGGTGGTACGGAGGGAGTCCCCTGAGCCCCAGTTGGAAGAGGGCGCAGTCTGCGCCCTCTCAAGGAAAAGGAACAGTTTTAGGGTGAGTTTGTAGTAAGTTTGCACTGAGGTTTTAGTTTCAGAATTAGCTGTGCATTTTTTTGTTATTTTAAGTTTGTAATCTACTTTGCTCTGCCTGTTCTCACTTAACCACTTAAATCCTACTGCTTGTACTTAATAAAATCACTTATTTACTATCAAGCCCAGTATAAACAATTGTTACCTGGGGGAGTAATCAGTGTGCACTAGGGATACAATAGTGTAGTCGATTAAACCGGTTAGCAAAAGCTTATAGGTTAATGATATAGACTACACGCATTGCCTGCCCCCTGCCAGTACACTTTTTTAGCAGGCTGACCAGCAGCCCAGCTCAGTCCTGGCTTGACAGGTCTGGGAAGCTACCCCTGCTGCAGCTCTGCATTTAAAGTGTATTAGTCATCCAAAACAAAGTGAAAACAGTAATAGGAAACAGCAAGATACATTGATTGTTCTGTAAGGATGAACAATTTCTAGGAGACACACAGACAGATTTTCTAGCAATATCAAATGCAAACCACCCACAGATTACTACAGAGAACAACTTCCCCATAAATGTGCATCTAAAGGTCAGTAATTTCACTGCCAAAACTCAACAGCAAGTAGAAAACATGAGACAAGAATCTTGCTGCCAACATGAGAAACTATTATGCTAGATGAGGGACGCATGCATATACATCTACCAAGATGTTTTGGAACAAAGCTTTTGTTTGCATTTTCTGCAAAAAGCATAAGATGCACTGAAACCCACATCTTATATTTAAGTAGACAGAGATAACAATTTGCCATGTTAATGCAGGATACTGAACAAGGAGGCAGCTGTTGGCATAAAGAGTCTCAATGGTAATGTGTAACATTAAAGAGTCATCAGTGTGACACAGGGGATGCACTGTACCTCACATCAGTGGATCCTTTCCAAGATGGTACTATTTTAACTTGAGAAAGACAAGATGGAGACAATTACTGAGAGAATTATTTTAATTTGTAATGATGTGCCTTTGTTTGCTCCTCTTACTGCATATTTTGCAGTCTCAAGAGTCTTAGATGGATCTGAGATTTTCAGGAACCCCTACTGCCTGAAGCAAACTGGTCCTAAAGTCAGCATCTCTGGGAAAGATGCTTCCTTCTACCTCTTGCAGATCAAAAAGCACCCTGAGCTGGGGTGTTAAAGCTTTCATATCCAACCAGGACAGCAAGCTGTGTCTACTGAATAGAAAAGGCTGGAGCATCTCTCAAAAATACTTGGCACATGTTGCATTACTGTAGTGGTCTGATTACTGAATCATTGTAAAGGGCTGTGTCTTTAGTGTAGAGAGAAGACTGGCACGATTTAGAGAAGTCCCAAGTAATGTGGGGGAATGTGCAGCAGAGGTGTTGACTGAAGGAACAAGGAAGGAAGTAGATTCAAAAAGGGCTATTTCTAGAGCATCAGCAACGTCTAGCAACCCCTGACAAAAACAAAGCAAAAAATTAATCAAGAGGAGCTTTGCCCAGTTGGTAAAACATCACAGAAATTATAGGGTCCTGGGGGTGCTCTGAAGTGTGATTTGTAGAATAACAGAATCATAGAGCTGGAAGGGACCTCAGGAGTCATCGAGTCCAACCCCCTGCCCAAAGCAGGACCAGTCCCAACTAAATCATCCCAGCCAGGGCTTTGTCAAGCTGGGACTTAAAACCTCTAGGGATGGAGATTCCACTCTCTCCCTAGGGAACCCATCCCAGTGCTTCACCACCCTCCTAGTGAAATAGTTGTTCCTAATGTCCAACCTAGACCTCCCCCACTGTAACTTGAGACCATTGCTCCTTGTTCTGCCATCTGTCACTACTGAGAACAGCCTCTCTCCATCCTCTCTGGAACCTCCCTTCAGGAAGTTGAAGGCTG